GGCCCCGCGGGCCGGAGGGGCGCGTCGCACCCGGATGTAACCCCCGCACCCTGCCCGAGCCCGGCCCCTGCGCGGCGGCGGTGATGTGAGCAGAGCCCAGGAATGCCTTCTGTGGATCGGCAGAACCGAATCTGTGGGTTTCTGGACATCGAGGAGAATGAGGACAGTGGCAAGTTTCTGCGGAGGTACTTCATTCTGGACACCCAGGCCCACTACCTTCTCTGGGACATGGACAACCCCCAGAACCTGGCAATTGGGGCAGGAGCTGTTGGATCTTTGCAGCTGACCTACATCTCGAAGGTGAGCATAGCCACCCCAAAGCGGAAACCAAAGACTCCATTTGGCTTTGTCATCAATGCCCTCTCTCAGAGGTATTTTCTTCAAGCCAATGACCAGAAAGATCTGAAGGACTGGGTTGAAGCTCTGAACCAAGCCAGCAAAATCACTGTACCCAAAGTTGGGAACCTGCCTCTGAGACGGAAGTGCTCAAAAGCCTAGCAGCTCCCCCGGCCCTGGAGAAGAAGCCGCAGGTGGCCTACAAGACCGAGATCATCGGAGGGGCGGTGGTCCACACGCCCATCAACCAGAATGGTGGGGACGGGCAGGAAGGGGGTGAGCCAGGGTCCCACGCCATCCTTCGAAGGTCTCAGAGTTACATTCCCACGACGGGCTGCCGGGTACCCACTGGCCACCCCTTCATCAAGAGCGGCTACTGCGTGAAGCCAGGGAATGTGCGGAAGAGCTGGAAACGTCACTTCTTTGCCCTTGATGACTTCAGCACCTGCTACTTCAAGTGTGAGCAGGACCGAGAACCACTGCACACGATATTTCTCAAGGATGTCCTCAGGACCCATGAGTGTCTGGTCAAATCTGGGGATCTCTTAATGCGGGACAACCTGTTTGAAATCATCACAAGCTCCAGGACCTTCTATGTACAGGCGGACAGTCCAGGAGACATGCACAGCTGGATTAAAGAGATCAGGGCAGCTGTCCAGGCCCTCAAGTGCCACCCCAGAGAAATGTCCTTTTCTCGATCCATTTCTTTGACTCGCTCTGGAAGCTCCAGCCTGTCGGGTGGGCCCAACTCTGTCTTCTGCAGAGGACGGCCACCTGTGGAAGAGAAGAAAGCCCTCTGCAAAGCCCCCTCGGTGGCCTCCTCCTGGCAGCCCTGGACACCTGTCCCCCAGGCGGGGGAAAAGCTACATCCACCTGAAGAGACTCTTGAGGACTCTTTGTTCACGTCTCGACTTGGGGAGAGCAATACTTCCGGGGCATTGCCCAGCTCCTGGATAAGGCACCGATCGGAGCCCCAGCACCCCAAGGAGAAGCCATTTATGTTCAACCTTGAAGATGAGAACATACGGACTTCTGATGTGTGATGAGGCATAGCGCCCAGGGAGGGAGGGGCGGGGAGGACTCAAGCAAAGGAGGCCATGACTCTGTTTTTCTATCTGTTGGAGGATAGTCAGAGGCCTTTATGCCGCTCATATTCTTTTGGATGCTCTATGGGAGGGGCCCATCCAGCTGGCTTTTTAAAAAGAAATATCCATGTGGTGTGTTTAATTTGGGAAAATCACTAGGTTATGCTCAATGGAGATCAGGTTGCCTCTTGTTCTACTATTGAAAGGTCATCCTGATGAGAGAAGGTTGGAAGTCCAATTTCGTCCCTAACCAAGTTTTACTTCCTTGTCCTAGTTTTAGTTCCTTCCCTTTGTTTGCAGGACAGACACGGAATCTTAGGCCAGTCATCTGGCTTTATCCTATTCCTCTGTATTGGCTGAAGTTTGACTGTGAAGTAGAAGGGTGGAAACTAACCCACCTAAACAGAGAGAGGAGAGGTGGAGACCCAGGCTCCGCTTCCCTGGGATCCATTCTAAGGAGAGGTGTTAAAATCTGGGGGCTAATCCATCAGGGCAGATCCCCATAGAGAACGAAACAGGGACCTCTTGTAAGGAATGGGGAATGATTCATCCAATACATCAGTCAATTTTGGGAACGACTCTGTTCTCATGTAGATGTTCTTTGACCCCAAATACTGTCGGTGTGAGTGACAGACCTGCCCACCTGGTTTCCGGGTCCAGCCCCAAGGATGGGTTTATCAGTGTTAAATGTTATGACTGTTGAGAACAGAACAGACATTTCCCTTGATACGGTGTTAGGTGGAATGTGTGGGGAGTTGACACTTGTATGATAATTCACTGTGTGATAGATCAGATCTCTATTTTAGAGTCTTAGATTTGCTGTGAAGCAGATGCTGGGAAGAGATGGATTAGAGTTCATCCAGCTAAGTTTTCTTGATCCATATTTTCCAAACAGAAGGAAAGGTCTGTTTTAGCACAGACATTATCTTGAATCCTGCCTCACAGCTCGTTTTTCATGGTCCAACAGTAGTCTAAGTGTAAGTGCTATAATATTGTGTGCCCTGGCATATTTGCTTTCTTTTTATTGTTTGTGTTGTCCTTTGAAAGAAGCCTTATGTTCTTGCATGATCTGACCTTGTAATCTGATGAGGTGTTCTGTGTACTTAAGAGCAGAGAGATAGAAAGATAATCTTGATATTTATATTTTTAATAAAATAGAAACTGCATAGAAACACTGATTTAGAGGCTATGCATTGCTGACTAGAGATGTCCCAGGTAGAAAAGCATAGATTGCATTTCCCACCCAAATTTCAGGGTGTGCCTTCTTCCATTTGGCAAAAAAACAAAAAACAAAACAAAAAACTATTTCTGGGGTCCCTGGAAGGATTTGTCTATCCAACTTATATGGTGAACTGCTCAGGGTTCCCTAAAGGGAAAGACAAGGTAACTCATTTCTGTCTATAACTGTTATCAGCTAGGTCAGTTAATTATATCTTTAAATTATAAAATTAATGACTTGTGGAAGAGACTAAGAGAAGTATTTTTACCTAAGTAAATCCCTTTCCCTGCTTATGTCCACATCTAATGCAGAGGTGAAAAGATGTGATCAGAAAATCCTTAGGAACTTGAGGGAAATCTTACGTTTCTTTCAGGAGCCATTCTTTCCTTGAAGTCCATGTCATGTTGAGAACTATTCTTGACTGCACTGTGTTGGAGCTATACTTCACTTAAATTGCTTGGCATAGTGGTCCTGGTATAAAAAGAAAATCTACTACTGGGTCGGTCTCTCTCTCTCTCTCTCTCTCTCTCTCTCTCTCTCTCTTTCTCTCTCTCTCTCTCTCCAGACTCTGATACACTTTTGTCCTTAGAAACCCTTGGTTTGGGAATTATTTATTTGTGAGTGGTGGAGGTTACAACATACTTCAAGTAGCCTACTTCCAAAAGTCATTCCAAATTCTTAAAGCTCTTTGTCTCTGGTTTCATTTTTTAGTTTTCCTCAAGAAAATTATTTGGCTAATAAGTGCACAATAAGTCATACTGAATGAATGGAAATCATTTAGAGACTTTTGAGGTCTCTTTAAACATTCCCTAACTCATGGAAAGGTGCCACCTTTTGGTGTGTAAATTGTAAAAATCTGTGCATTTCTCTCTTTAAAATTAAACTCTGCTAGAATACTACTGCTACAT